ACCAACCAACCAAGGCAGCTTCCGACTCAACGGTTCCCCTGAGGACTTGAGTTAGCAGCTCCCCCTCGCCACCCCCAATCTGCTTAATTTACCTCCCCAGGTGTGCCCAGCTGGGCAGGCACCAATGGCACCTCCTCCCACACTACCGTGGCCCCTGGGCGCTAATGCTAACCGGCCGTGCATCCGACTCTTCTGGAGGCCCGGCCCCTCGGAAGGCCTCCCGTGGAGGTTGGCCGATGCAGAGCCAGGATGTACGACAGGGAATGGCACCGTGGCAATCTCCACGCGTGCTCGGCCTTCCCCGGAGCACAGCTCGGTTATTGGGGAACTGGATGGGCCTTGGCTTCTTCCCCTCAACCTGGACAATCGGGTGTCAGGGCTCCCATAACCACAGGAGCCACGGCTACGCGGGGAAAGCTGAGGCTCAGGGGCCTGACAGGCTCATCATACCAGGGGACGCACCCCCGCAGGCTGGGAAGGGGGCTCCCAGGCCTCCCGTAGCCTCTACCGGGCAGCAGCCTTGCGTACCAGGCCCTGCCTGGAGCTGGGGGTCCTCGGGCCCTGGCGATGGATGCCTCGGCCACCACCGCCGCCACTGCTGTCCCGTTGTTGTTGACACTGTAACAGTGACAAGTGACAGATTCATCCTTCTGACAAGATCCCTTTAAATAATTCACAGGGGTCTGGGGATTAAGACACTGTTTCTCTCTGTCTCGGTGGAGATTGAAAATACCTCCAGCTGGGGTATTTAAAGAGCAGGATAATGGACTGGCCCTCCATCCCCCCCCCCACTCTGTTCCCCCCCCACACTTTCCTGTTTCTCAAGCTCATCCCCCCCCCCCCCCCCCCCGTCGCCCCACTAGCCAAGCCCTGTAACAAGGAAGTCCAGAAAAGAAGAAGAGAGAGAGGGGAGGAGGGGGGGGGGGGAAACCAATGCTTGGCTGGTCACTATAGCAACGGTGGCAGGGTATTCAGCTGCCATTATCCCCGTGCTTCACACATGTGATTATCTTAAGCTGTCGATTGAATGTGGCTCTCACTGCGGCCCAACAAGGCCTCGCCTGACAGGGCAGGGGTGGGAGCCGCGGGGGGCCTCGGGGGGCCCCAGCTGCCTCATACTTGCTGAGGCTCAGACCCAAGCTTCCACTGATGGAAAGGCTGCTGCGGAGTGACTCCCAGGATGGAAGCGGTGGCGTTTCCCTTCTGCATGGGGAGGTTTCCGCTTGGGAACCAGACCGGCCTGGAGCTTGGGCGACCACAGGGGGGGGTGGGGGGAGGCTGGGGGAAACGGGCTTCTTGTCCCATCCGTTTGACCCGCGACGCGGGTCCATCCTTCCGTGCGTCCACTCCTACGTAAGCCTCTTGAGGAGTCAACTCTACCACTACCACCGGCTCAACCACGGGGTTTGCCCCCCCAAAAAAGGGAACCCCACAACCAAATCCTCCCCACCTCCTCTGTATTAACGCCAATAGTATCCGTGGGGTAAAAAGGCTAACGCAAACCAAAACAAAAAGCCCAGACTCGGAGAGGACCTCGGGAGTTTGCGGACAGAAATGTCCGCAAGGTTTCTGCTGAGAATCAACCCGTAAAGCTGCTCTCCAGAGCAAGAAGATAAACATGTCTTAATAAACAAACAGGAAAATAAACCTGACAGGGAGGTTCTTGGGAACCACCCCGACTCCGAGAGTTCCTGAAATGTGCAAGCTGAGGGACTAGCCCTCTCCCATACTCGCACGCACACACACACACACACACACATCCAAAGCATGTAACAATTCATGCTCTACAATGAGCCTGTGTCTCATTCTCTCGATCACACATACACAGACCCCGCCTCCCCCCTCCAAAAAAAAAGTCTCATCTAAAGCTCTGAGAACCACCACAGGGTAGACAGGGCCCTGGCCTTCCTACCCACTTGGCCCCAACTCCTCCCCTCCCCTCCCCACCCAGTACCCCACCTACTACATCCTCTGCCTATCAAGGATCTGAATCTTCCTTCCGAAAGGAAAGGAGGCCCGGGCTTCGCCTCGGCCTCCTCCTTCTCCAGCCTGCCTCCCTCCCCCTCCCCCCTTTGTCTATCACTGTCTGTCAGGCAGGTGATTTCAAACTTCCATTCCTGAAAGACCTAGATTTTATATATATATATACATATAAAATGTTTTAAGTGCCTCGGGGTGTTTTGCTCCTCATTGCTTCATAAAAGTGACATTGATAGCCAGGGAAGAGCTCTGCTGAGTGCAATTAGGGAGGATGTTTCAGGTAGGAAAGCTGTTTTGAGCCTGCTAATGGTTCCTAATTACAGGCCTTTTGGTGGAGAGAGGGGAGGAGAGAGAGAGAGGGGAAGACTGGGTGGGAAGGCCTAGGGTGTGGAGTTCTGACTCTCAGTGGTTTACCTGGAGACCGAAGGGGAGGAGGAGGGTAGAGGGAGGGAATGGGGGGGGGGGTTGGGGGGGGTCAGAGGTCAGCAGCGGGGAGACTGGCTGAGAAAGCTGTACTAATAATTCCTAGGAACAGAGCGCCTGGAAAGGACTCCCTCTGAGGCATCAGTCCCGCCTACTCTTCCATTTCCCAGGCTCTCATTGGCTGTGCTCAAGCCATAGACTCCGCGGGAGCCAATACGCGCTCTCTACTTTCCGGATTGGCTCGGGATGGACAGGGGATTCAGACCAAGTCCCTCAGACCCAATCCGAGGTACTCTTGGGCCAAGAGGAGAGTCTCTGCGTGGAACCAGCAATGGGGGGGGGGGGGAGAGGGGGGAGACAGAGAGACAGTGATTAATCCCAGAGCTGTGCACTGGGACCCTCCAGTTCCATGAGCCAAGGTTATTTCCTTCAAGATCAAGTTGCAGTTTTCTATCACTGGCCACCTAAAAAAGCAAGATGAGGAACAGCTTCTGGCAATCAGCCACCCGGTCCAACGCCACCCTGAGCCGCCACACAATGTGGCACTAGAGTAAGAAAAAGAGCCACTTGCCCTGCCCCCTCTGACCTCCTGTCCTCAGCAGGCCTTGAAATCCCAATACGTGACGACAAGAAGAACATCATCATCATCATCATCATCTGGCCCACAGCTAAACGTCTCCCGGATCTTCCCTAACTAAAGTAACTCGGGTTTTTCTGTCTGTGAGCACGGTGGAGTCCAAGAAAGGAACGCAGCCCTGCGGACTAGGGTTGGGGACGCGCCGGCCGCTTCCTAAGTACATAGAGCAAGGACACCTTCTTAGACCAGACTCAATCTGGTCCACCACAGTCACCCCACTGAGGAGAAGAGGAAACTGGGCTTCTGGCTTGACTCTGCCCTGGTTCTCGCTCCCTGTTTGGGCAAACACCAGCTCAATCCAGATCTTGCTCTTCCCCCCCTCCATCCCTCTATCTCTAGACACAGGTGCATGGCAGGGAGGGGGGGCGGGGGCAGGTGCTTTCGGTCAGGGCCGCAGCGGCGGCGTAGAAGCGCAGGTGAGACCACTTGGCTTGTGATCAGATAAGAACCGTCCCTCGGGCGGGACCTCGGGCACATGCGTGATTATTGTGTACTCCGGACCTGCTGTGCTGCTGGCTGGAGACATCCCCGTCCCCACCCACCCCCCCCACTCCCCAACAACATGGAGTACCACGGCTCAACCAAACACAGGGACGGAGAGAGCTGGGCGGTCTGGCAAAGACGAGGAAGCAGCCCAGGACCACCTTGCCCCAGACCAGCTTCACAACCCCACGGGAAAGGAAGCAGCGCCCCCCGCACCCCCCGACACACACCTTAGCTCCTCTGCCTCTTCCATCCTTCAACCCCTAAGCTAGCCAGATTGTCCGAGCCAGGGACAGGGTTTATCATCCGCCTCCTCCCTCCTCCTCGGCTTCCCCTGGTCTGCTCTGGGTATTGGGGGGGTGGTCCCCCATGGGTCATCTGAGCGCCTCAGACCATTCCACAGGCAGCTGCTGCCAGGGGTCCCTTTCCACGCCTCTGTCCCCCGCGCGCTGCACAATCTAGCTGGCGGGTGCTCCCCTTTGTATTCCTCACCTTTCGTCCCTCCGTTTCCTGTGGGATGACATGGAGGGGGGGTACCCTGCCCCCCATCTCCGTCAGCATGGCAGCCGCGGCCCTTCACCGGGCCGGACACACAGACCCCAGAAATCGGGCTGCTTCTCCTGCCGGACCCAGGGGGGCCTTGCTTCCTTCCCACCCTCTCCACGGGCCACCTATCAGACTCCTACTTACAAACCCCCCAAAAAAAACAGCCACCCGTGTACCTTTGCCTTCTGGTCAACCCCTGTGTCACGCCTGTCCATTCCACTCTCCCGTGTCTCCAAGTGTGCACATATACACACGCACACAGCTGATCCACAGACAGGATAAGAGGCTGCCCCCTTCCTTGTAAACGTGGAGTCCCTCCAGGTACGTGAAGATGGGACCGGCTTCTCTAGCCGGGCGCCGGTGGCTCACGCCCGCTGGCCTAACCACTCCGGAGACTTAAGATCTGCAGGATGACGCAGTTCGAGGCCCGCCGGGACGGAAGGCCGCCCGTGCGGGACTCCATCTCTAAATAACCCAGCAACCAGCCGGAGGGGCTGGAGGCGTGGCTTTGAGGGGTAGAGTGCCAGGTGGGAGCCAGCAAGCTAAGTGAGGCGCTGAATTCAAGGCCCTGCCCTGATACCAAACTTCTAGCAAAAGCCTAGGCTCTCCTGAGCTCCCACGCTCCCTCCCTCCCGGCCTCCCCCCTCCCTCCAGGCCTGGCGTCTCTGTGGCCTCTGATCTGCCCCCCCCCCCCCCCCAGCCGGCTTCCCTGTCCCCACACAGGAGCCAGAGCCTGTGCCTCTGGAGGGGTTGTGTGAAGAGAGATTCAGTATCACCCGAGTAGGCTGCAGAGCTCAGGCGGGAGACACCCCTGCCTCTGGCCCCCCCGCCACGCGCACAGGGGTCCCGGAAAGGCTCTGCCGTAGCTGCTCTGTGGAGTCCAGGCCTCCCCACACACAGCAGAATGCAGGGGTGCTGGTCTGACACTCACCCCTGAAGCAGGATTGGCCGTCCAGCCCAGCTCCGCAGTGGCTGTCCTGGTGTCCATTAACGTTTCTGCAAATAAAGCAAGCAACTAGAGTGAGTTGCGAGGGTCCCCTGGCCCGGAGCCCTTATTTCCTGAAATCTTCGGGGTGCGGCGACAAACACGAAGCGTTTTCTCCTCGTCTGTCCGCTTCTCCCTTTCTGGAAGTCAACTCCCCTGATCTCAGCCACTCCCCGCCCCCCCCCCCCCATCTCCGCCTTCCCACAAGTCCCTCTGCGCTGGCCAAACCCAGACACGTGGTCCATCACGTGCCCGCAAAGACTCCGCAGGGGACTCCAGGGCCCCTGACAGATCAGGTGCGGTGATGGTTCACGCGTGTAAGCCCAGCGACTCAGATGAGGGAAATCAGATAATCATGGTTTCAAGGCTAGCCTGGGCAAAGAAAGTGAGTCCTCATCTCAATCACAAGCCCTCCCCCCCCACCCCCCTCCCCCAGTGTGTGTGTGGCGCCAGGGCCTGGGGACGGTTAGCTATAAGGAGGAAGAGATAGGAGGATCACCATCCAAGGCCTTCCCCAAGCCAAACAACCACAACCACCACGTGAGACCTTCTCTGGATAACTAAAGCCAAAAGGCTGTTGTTCACGTCTGACAACAGGGAACTATGTTGGGGAAGGAGGTTTCCGGTGTTCTCGCCGGCCAGGGCACTGTCCCAAAGATGCCTGCCCCATAGAAGCAACCAGAGCCAGACCCGGACACAGGCCCTAGGGACGTTCCAGGGTCTGAGAAGTGAGTGGCCACGCCAGCTTTTCGGGACACTGGTGGAGCCCAGAGAGGCTCAGGGTCTGAGCAGGGCTGAGCCCCAGGGGATCCAGGACCAACCTGCCCCGGGTCAGAAAGAGGCTGGGGCATCTCCGTGGGCCTCCGCGCAAACAGGAACCATAGAGCGTCTTCCTCGCTAGCTTGTGACCCAGCTAGCGTTACTGCCCCTGGTGGGCTGGAGGTGCACATTGAAAAGCACCCAGACATAAAGAGAACTAAGAGCACTGTCTACTGGGCACCAGGGTGGCTCACGCCTGAACATCCTAGCTTGTCAGGAGGCTGAGATCTGAGGAGGGAGATTCCAAGCCAACCCCGGGCGGGAGAGTCCACGAGACTGTTTTATCTCCAAGGAACTGCCAAAAAAAAAGTCAGAAGTGGCTGCTGTGGCTCAAGTGGTAGAACGCCAGCCTTGAGCAAAAGAAGCAGCTCAGGGACAGCGCCCAGGGCCCTGAGTTCAAGTCCCAGGACTGGTACAAACAGAAAATGAAATTAGATTTAAAAAAAAAAAAAGCAAGCAAGCTGGTGTCTTGCCCAGTTTGAGGTTGAGCTGGGTTGAGAGCCCTACCCTACCACAGGGGATATGACGGGCATGAGATCTGCTGAGTTGATCCCGCCCCCCTCCACACTCCCCGCCCCCCCCAACTTTCTGACAGCTGAGGAAGACTCCCTACAAGGAGCGGCCCTGCCTCTCCCTGCCTCCCTCCTCATCTCCACTTCGCAGAACTAATCACGATCATCATGACACGCTGAATTTGCATAATACACTCCTCCGAAGACACTTCACGGGGTCGGGGCCGGCGGGGGGGGGGGGGGGGAACCCCAGGCAGAAACTCATCTCTGCGATTATTCAAATGTTTCTGCCAGGTGGGACAGAGGCAGAGGTAAATGCAACCCACACGGGCCGAACAGGGGACGGGAAAGGGACAAGTCACACCGACAGCCCTTGCTGACCACAAGCCCACCGGGCAGACCTGGGCTTCCAGAAGATTCTACTAAGAACTCTGGCATAGGGGCAATCTTTGGCTCACAGAACCAAGAAAAGCCATGGGAGAGCCTCCCCCTGCCCCCCCAGAACAAAGAGTGTCCCCCCACCAACCCCAGGACCTCGCTGAAGGAATACCGAGCCCGGGAGGGATCGAGCGTCTGGAATATATTTTCTTTAAAAGAAAAAAAAAATGCCACCTTCATTTCCAAGCCTTCCGGGGGACAGACTCCTTTGTTCTGTTTAATTCTACAAATCCAAGATTTGTGATAGCCACTGTCACCTCTCTGGAGCTGTAATTGAATCTGCTTTGGAGCGCGGTCTCCTGTGAAGTCCACCAGACGGGCTCTTTACATTCTGCCCACGGAGGAGACCACACAGGGGCCGTAAACCGGTCCACGGCAGAGAGAGAGAGAGGGGGGATGGAGGGAAGTTTCTTGGGGGACTGCGGAGAGCTCTCCTGCGGGGCTGGGGGGTGGGGACTTAGAGGGAAATGCTTTCTGGAAGTTCCCATCTCCCCCTCTCCCCCCCCGCCCCCCCCCCGCCAGAGGAACGGGGTCCTCATGTGCATGTACAAAGGCATAATGAGAATTCTGGCAGAAAGTTCTGGTGGAGCCCGGTTAAACGTTTACCGTGAACTTCTGCTCTGGAAACAGTGGCGTCAGGATGGTTGCTGTGTTGCTGTCAAAGCTGAAGATGTCATGGCGGGGAGGGAGGGGGAAGGGGAGGAGGACGCCATTCTGGCACCCACGCCCACAGCCCAGGCTCTAACCTCTAGGTGCATTCTCTCACTGGGGGGGGGGGGGGGAGAAGAGGGGGGGGACACATGGTCCACACCGGTGGTGTGGACAGAGAGCATGCTGGGGTGTGCTGGGGTGTGCTGAACTTGCTTATGCCCTAAGCCTCCCTCCCATCAATCACCAATCAATCAATCAATCAATCTCTCACACCCTCCCTCCCTCCCTCCTTTCTCCCTTATCTGCAGGCTGCAGTTACACAGCACGGCAGGACTGTGGGGAGGAGGACGCCAAAGCAGGGTAAAGTGACCACAGAGCCTGGGGCAGGGCTAAGACAATCATGTCGTGACTCCGAGCTCCAGTTCCCGATCCACGGAAACCACCTGACGCCAGTGGTATCTGTGTGATACCCATTCAGGTATGTCTACTGAGCGAATGATATCAGATATCTAATTTACCTCCTGTCCAGTGGCCGAAAAGGCCAAGGGAATGATAAAGCGATGGATAAGAATAAGTGTCAGCGGGGGGGGGGGGGGGGGAGGGGGGGGGAAGAGGGGGGGCCAATAAGAAGAAAGGTCACAGCTGGCATCCTATTCCATTGGAGGGAACGGGAGCAATGCTTCGGTACAAGGGTTCAGTGGACCTGTTTCACCATTTCAACATGGAGACGTATGGTCCCGTAGATGGAGGTAGACAGAGGGAGGGAGGGAAGGACAGAATACTGGAAGAACGGAATAGAGGAATGGAGGGGGAGTCACTCAAAGCAACAAGGGGAGGGGAGGGAGCCAAAGATAGGTTGGAGGGAATGAAGGAGAGCTCATCCCAGAGAGACGGGAGGATCAGAAGGCTAGCGAGCAAGATGAGGGGGTACAAGAGCCGACTCAAGAAGAATGGGGCGTAGGAGAGACCACTTTCCTGAGGGGCGGGGGGAGGCGCTATTCTGGAGAAGAAACGCTCAGTATGGGAAGCATCATGGCGCCCCGCCACGCAGAGGGGCTATCACCCTGGGAAAATCCAACTGGGGTTGACCGGGGCTGAGCTTCCTTTAAGAAAGAAGAGGCAGCTGCTGTCGGTCATGGGGCTTGAACTCTGGGCCTGGGCGCTGTCCCTGAGCTCTTGAACTCAACGCAAGCGCTCTACCCCTTGAGCCACGGCACCACTTCCGGTTTTCTGAGTGGTTCACTGGAGATCAGAGTCTCGCGGTCTTTCCTGTCTGGGGCTGGCTTTGAACCGTGATCCTCAGATCTCAACCTCCTGGGTAGCTGGGATGACAGGCCCAGGAACCACACCACATGGTAGGTCGAGAACCAGACTCCTGTCCCTAAGTACAAGAAGCGCCTGCAGAAAACTCCACAAGCAGCCCTGACTTCTCTCCTCTGGGAGGAGTTGGGGGGGGGGGGGGCGAAGGCTGTATATTTGTGGTTTAAAAAAAAGAGGGGGAGGGGAGTCCAAAGCCAGGCGCTGGTGGCTCACACCTGTCATCCTAGCTACTCAGGAGGCTGAGCTCTGAGGGTCGTGGTTCAAAGCCAGTCTGGGCAGGAACATCTGTGAGACTCTTATCTCCCGTGAACCACCAGAAAACAGGAAGTGGCGCTGTGGCTCAAGGGGTAGAGCGCTCGCCTTGAACTAAAGAGCTGAGGGACAGCGCCCAGGTCCTGAGTTCAAGACCCATGACTGACAAAAAAGGAAGGGGACAGGGGGAGTCCAGGTATGCATTGAACAAGGGTGTCCTGGAATAGCACCCCTGGGGAGCAGACACCGTACGGACTTCCGGAGACGGAGCAAGAATAGGCGGGCATGTCTAGTCCTCAGAGAACTGAAACAATCGTACAGGTAAGACTGCGGCTGGTTTGGGGATTCTCCGTTCTCAGTAGAAGCTAAGCAACCTTGAGAGATAAGAGAGCTGTGACTTCCGATCCACAGGGACCCGGGTTCAAGTCCCAACGCCGCAAGCGATGCGCACACCCAGCCAACACAGCAGAGTGTCAGACTCCTCAGCCCCAGCTGAGACTGTTTTCTTAAGGACACTCATTTGCCTAGCACTTATTTACTCTCCTTGCCAAGTGTAACATGCAAGGCGAATGGAAGCTATCATTATGTACGTCTCCCGTGATGGATGGGTGGGAGATGGCCGGAGAGAAATCATCCTGAGTGAACAGGAATGAGCCAACCCAACCCATCTGCTGGGCTGACTGACTGACTGAATGAGTCTGAACAGGCATTCAGATTATCAACAGCAACTGTGAAATTTGCTCTTTTAAAGGACATGCAGATCGGCAGAGTCCTCCCTCAATCCCGCCCTTCTCCTTCTGCTTCTTTTATTCCGAGGTGCAGTTAATTATGGAGGGCGTCAAGAAAGCCAACAGCGTAGACGGGTCACGGCGCAGGAAACCCGCCTTGGGCGGTTGGGACAGGCTCCAGATCTGGTCTGGGTTCACGCGTGAAGCAACGCTCAGGAACGAGTAGCGAAGTGAACAGGGTGGTGATAGGCCTCCCAACTCCAAGGGGCTCCTTCCAAGAAAGGA